AATTGGAGCTTGTCTCCCGACATAGGCTTGGCAAGCAAGGGTGCCGAACAGAGGTAGTTCTTCAATTGCTGAAACGCTTGCTTGCACTCCGCCGTCCATTCAAACGGCCCTTTCTTTCGTAAAACCTTGAAGAAAGGGAGGCACTTGTCCGTTGACCTTGAAGCAAACCGGTTCAGGGCCGCAATCCTGCCATTGAGGCACTGAAGCTGTTTCAGCGTTTTAGGTGCCTCCATCTCGATCACGGCTCTAATCTTTTCGGGGTTGGCCTCGATCCCCCGGTTGTTTACCATGAAGCCAAGGAATTTTCCCGAGGAGACTCCAAAGGCACACTTGGCAGGGTTGAGCTTCATTTGATATGCCCTCAGAACCTCGAAGGCTTCGGCCAGGTCGGAGAGATGCGACTCRGACTGCTTGCTCTTGACAAGCATGTCGTCCACATACACYTCCATATTCCGGCCGATCTGCTTGGCGAACATTTTGTTCACCATTCTCTGGTAGGTCGCTCCTGCGTTTTTTAACCCGAAGGGCATGACCTTGTAGCAGTACAGACCTTGGTCTGTTATGAAAGCGGTATGACCTTCATCCGGGACATGCATCTTGATTTGGTTGTACCCAGAGTAGGCGTCCATGAAAGTGAGCAGTTCGTGCCCGGCYGTGGCGTCCACGAGCTGATCGATCCTCGGCAGTGGGAAGCAATCTTTCGGGCATGCCTTATTTAAGTTCGTAAAATCTACGCACATTCTCCACTTGCCGTTAGATTTTTTAACTAATACAACGTTGGAGAGCCACTCGGGATACGAAATTTCTCTTATGTATTCAGCTTTCAAGAGTTTGTTAACTTCCTCAACAATTACATCACTCCTTTCCTTATTTACAGGTCTTCTCTTTTGTTTCACAGGTCGGAATGATGGATCTATGCTGAGGCGATGCGTCATAATTCGCGGGTCAATGCCAGGCATGTCCTCATGGGACCACGCAAAGACGTCCGAGTTGGATCTGAGGAAGTGGATCAGCTCCTCTCTGTCGGTGGCCCCCAGCTTGGTTCCTATGCTTACCTGCTTCTCGGGACTAAGCAGAGGAACAAGCTCGAGCTCCTCAGTGGGTGCGGCAAACTCCTTCCTCGGCAGGTTGGCCTCGAACTCGAGCGTCCCATCCCTGAGAGTTTCGAGGGCGCAAACCGATGGGCCTTTGAGTGCGGCGGCATAACACTCCCTCGAAGCGGCTTGTTCTCCTCGGACCGTGCCCACGCCGTTGGGGGTGGGATACTTCAAAACTTGATGAAGTGTTGAAGGAATGGCTCGAAAGGAGTGGATGATGGGTCTCCCAAAGATGGCGTTATAGACCGATCTACCGTCAACTACCACGAACTCGGCCATTTGAGTGATCCGGGTTTGGTTCTGCCCCAGCGTGACCGGCAAGTCGATACAGCCCTCTGGGATGACCGATTCTCCAGAGAATCCAACCAGCGGCGTCGGGCTTCTCCTCAATTGCGACCTCGTCCAGCCCAAGGCGAGGTAGGTCGGTAAGGACAGGATATTAGCGGATGCGCCCCCGTTTACCAGCACTCTCCTAACCACCACATGATCAATCAAGAGAGCAATCATAAGGGCATCATTGTGGGGCAGGTGGACCTCCTCCAAGTCTGCACCGTCGAAGGTGATTGGGCAGGTCGGCCCCTGCTCCCTGATGATGCACACCTCGCGTCTGGCTGCACGGGCTAACTCCTTTCTTTTATGTCCGGATTGACCCCCGCTTGGCCCTCCAAAAATGGTGTTGATGACCGCAGGTCGGTCGGTGCGCCGAGGTGGCGTTCTAGAACGCTTTCGCTCCTCCTTTTTCTCTGCTGAGCTAGTCCCGGGCTTTCCCACAAACTTCTTGAAGTAGCCGTCTTGAATTAGATCTTCAATTTGGCGCTTCAATTCCCAGCAGTCCGACGTGTTGTGGCCGTGCTCCCGATGGAAGCGGCAGTACTTGTCCTTGCTGCGCCTCTCCGGGGCTCCCCGAAGTTTCTCCGGACGCTTGAGTAGTTTTTCCATTCCAGAATCCTCGATGTTCGTTAGGATCTCGRAAATTGGAATCGTGGTTGGGGTGAAGCGCTCGTAAGGTCGGCTCCTGGTWGGTCCGTTCTCCGCCCTTCGATACTCAGCTCGGCCGCTGGAGAAGGATCCTTTGTC